GAGAAATAAAAATACAAATGACTTATATTTTATTGTCTATATGCCCACTATGATATAACACGAAGCAATTCTAATTAACATTCTCACATGTATTATGTATTATGATTGAAGTTTATTTGCATGGTTTTATTTTAGAAATATTTCGTTGACAGTTTTTTTTCTATTTACATATCATTTCTTGGAATAAATCGATAAGGACACTGATTTACAAGTTTGACCAGAGTTTTTAGGCATAAATTTCATTCTGTATTTAAAAATTTGGACTTGTTCTGCTTGAAAGTAGAAAATCTGAATTATATCAGATTGGGACACATAAAATATATTGCTCTACAAATCTCGAAATTGTATGGAACAAATTTTCTCTGTTATATCTTTTGTGTGTTTTTTTTTTTTTTTTAAAAAAAAAGCCTTAATGTCTCTCCGGTTGCATGTCCGTCGCATTCAGTGCTGCAGCACTTTGATTTACAATATAATAATATGTATATTTTAAATGGTAGAACTAAGGGAGATTTTCTGGGGTCAGTGACCTGTTAAAATGTGAGCACCGTAGATTATTTTGTGTGTTCGTCAAATGTATTTAGATCCGTTGTTGACATGAATGTTCTTGAATACTGTCCATTATTATCAGACGTTCATAATCCTATATCGCTTTCTTTTAAGTTTTTTAATTCTGAGGATCATATACAAAATAAAATCGTATCAAATGAGAATGTTAGATAATGGAACGCCGGAAAGGCAACAGATTTTGTTAAGAACATCGATACGACCAGAGTAAATGATATAATGAACGCTTTAAACTATATTGAGAATAATGATTATTTTTCTCCAGATGACTTAAATGATGCAGTGTCAAAAATAGGTGATATTTTTCATGAAAGTGCCTGTAAATCTTTTGGTACATTTAAAACAAATCATAATTAAGAAAGTAACAATTCTGCTTCTAAACATTGGTTTAATAATAAATGTAAAACTACCAGACGTGATTTTCACAGAGCTAAATATTTGTATAAACTGAGAAAAACAAATGAAAACAAAACAAATTTGAAATTTAAAAGTCATGAGTACAAAAATGCATTAAAACAAAGTTATAAAGAATATAAAATACATAACATTGAAAAAATTAGGAAATTGGGTAAATCTAATCACAAAGAATACTGGAAAATATTGAATGGTAAGAAAGTTTCCAATTGTAGCGCGGACCTTAACGAAGTATATACGAATATTTTAAAGATATAAATTTTGATAGTAATGTATATGAAAATGAAAATCCAAATGATATGTATCCGAATGACATATGTGAAGAACTGAATACGGATATTACTATAGATGAAATAGAAAACGCTATTAAATCACTTAAGAATAATAAAGCTTGCGGTGTGATCGTATAGTAAACGAACATATAAAAGAGTCATTCCATATCTTCAAGACCATATATGTTAAACTTTTTAATATTATTTTTAGCAAAAGTTGTATTCCAAAATGTTGGACAATTGGTATTATAAATCCTATTTACAAAAATAAAGGGGATGCGACTGATCCATCGAATTATAGACCAATTACACTTCTTAGCTGCTTAGGGAAATTGTATATTGCTGTTTTAAATATCCGACTGCAAAAATTTACATCTAATCATGATATTATAAATGAATATCAGGCTGGTTTTAGAAAAGGTTATTCAACTATTGATAACATGTTTGTATTAAATACTCTTGTCGATTTGCTCAGAAATAGTAAAAACAAATTGTTTTGTGCTTTCATCGATTTAAAATGTGCCTTCGACAAAGTTTGGAGACCAGGTTTATGGTCAAAATTATTGTCATATAATATCAATGGAAAATTTATAAACACATTTAAAAACATACATGAAAATGCAAAGTCATGTGTACGTGTTAATGGAAATATGTCTGATTATTTCATATGTAATATTGGAGTACGTCAAGGTGAAAATCTTTCACCGATTATGTTTTCATTGTATTTAAATGATTTATATGAATATTTTAGTAACAATAATGTTTCCGGTGTAACATGTAACAGTCACGATTTAGAGGATAGTGCTTTTAACTATGTAAAACTGTTCTTTTTGTTGTACGCAGATGACACTGTAATATTTGCTGAAACAAAAGATGAACTTACAACATGGTTTAAATATTTATAAAAACTATTGTGATACCTGGAAACTTACGCTCAATACAACAAAAACTAAAATTTTGGTTTTTATAAGTGGACGACGCATGTCATATAAACTTTACTTACGGAAATGAACTTTTAGAGTTGTTGTAGACAAGATAAGTATCTTGGTATTCTTTTCAGTAGAAGTGGTTCCTTTTTCAAAGCAAAATTATCTATCGTGAAACAGGGGTCCAAAGCTATGTATAGTCTTATAAAAAATTGTAAAATGTTAGAATTGCCAATTGACATGCAAATAGATTTATTTAACAAAATTGTAAAACCTGTCCTAACTGTACGGATGTGAGATATGGGATTTTGGTAATATTGATTGTATTGAAAGAGTACAGCTTAAATTTTTAAAATATATTCTAGGTTTAGAGTCAAGTACACCAAATTGTATGGTTTACGGTGAAACTGGTGTTAAACCACTATCTATTGAAATTAAATGTAGAATTATATCATATTGGTCTGACTTAGTCATACCACAACAGAACAAGTTACCGTGTTTGATATACCGTATTTTGTTAAATAATTTTAATAACTCCCAGACTGTATCTAGATTTAGATTTCAGTGGATAAAATTTGTTCAGAATATTTTGTATGAATATGGTCTGTATAACATTTGGCATAACCATGAATTTCATAACCATAAATGGTTAACGATGTCAGTCAAACAAAAATTATCACATTTATTTTTAAATGAGTGGTATTCTAATATTGAGAATTCTAGTAAATGCATAAATTATAGATTATTCAAACATAATGTTTGTTTTGAAACATATCTTGTTAAAACTCTATCAAAATTTTTACAATACATGATAAAATTTAGAACAAGAAATAACAAATTACCAGTAGAAACCTGAAGTTGAACAACATCGAACTTATTATTACCTCATGTTGTAATGTTTGTATGATCTGAGTGAATAAAATGAATTGAAATTGAAAAAAAGTAATTGGAAAATTGTTATCAAAATAATAAAGAATATTTGCCACCTAATTAAAGCATTTACTTATAAATTTTCATTTATGCTTTTTGTTAAAAAATTATTGATAAAGTTATTATGTAGAAGGGTTTTCATACCAGAACTTTTTATGACCAACGTATGACTTAACCTGATTACCGTCGCAGTATGACGTCACGGAGTAGTGATTTTGAAAAAATAAACAAACAAAAATCAAGAATTTTTGAGAGAATTATTTTCTTTACAAATTGCAGATATGAAGTTAAAGAATGAAAATATTTTCATACTGTAAATTTCTGTGATGACTAATGAGTCAGCTTAAAAAAATCAAGGTACTATTTTTTGACCTGATTACCGCGACAGTAAGATTTGACGAATGGTATTAACATTGGGAGGGCATAGCCTCCCCAAAAATCATTTCCAACCCCATTATTGAAAAATCATTAACTGTGTGGTCGTTCGTGTAAAAATGCGCCGCTAACGGATCGTTGTACTTGTCTGCAAGAAAACTACATATATGTACGCTATTATCTACGTTACGTCTTACCGCGCTATTTGACGCCAACGTCACTTCTGACGTATGTTGTTTCGATACATTGAATCGAGAGTCAATACAGATCGAACCTACACAACGCCTTTGTATTATTACTTTCAATATACGAAACCACTTCCACATTGGTGCCGTTTGTAAAGCTATTGACTAATCATGAATCTACAGAAGCTTATTTCAACAAGAGAAGGTCATCGCATAATTGTGCAGAGAAAATTAGCCGCAATTGATCAAAATGAGGAAATGTCGTCTCTAGAATTTTCATCACTCATAGATTATCTGACAGAAAAAGCTACGATAATTAAAGGACTGAATGAAAAGATCATTAATCAGTGTGACGATATTGAAACAGAAATCGTGGAAAGTGAAGAGTATTCATACGATTTGGATCTGAGGATTCAGAAGTTAAGCGAGATTTACCGGAAACAGACCCTAGACTTTACAAACAATAGTTCCGTTGATCAAGAAGATAACCCTATGGTACCGCGACATACGAGTTCGAGTACATTTGCGCAACATAAACTCCCAAAACTTACCATACGTAATTTTGACGGAGATCTTACCAACTGGCAGACTTTTTGGGACTCTTATGAGTCATCTATTCATCTGAATTCTACGTTATCGGACGTTCAGAAGTTCAACTACTTGCGATCTCTGGTTCAAGGTATAGCAGCACGGTGTATAGACGGGTTTCCGTTGACGAATGCGAACTATTCAAATGCAGTGAGTCTTCTAAGGGAGCGCTTCGGACAACCACAGAAGATAATTCATAGATACATGCAGTCCTTGCTTGAACTTCCAAGACCTAGCAACAATGTAGTAAGTTTACAATGTTTTTATGATAAAATGGAAACTTTTATCAGAGGTTTAGAAATCACTTGGGCAGTCACAGGAATCTTACGGTAGCTTATTAATACCAATAATTTTAGATAAGTTACCAGGCATAATGAAGCAAATATGGCACGTGAACATCGGAGTGTAAACTGGGAATTACAAGAGTTAAAGGTCAGCTATATGTAAAGAAATTTCTTTCATGGAAGCAGGTATATCTACTACTGATATTAACAACCGTGAAACTGATGTTCATATTCCCACAGCGTCATTCTTTACTGGAACCAGACAAAGTACAAATGAACGTAAAAATAAACGTAAGAAAGACGTCAATTTCCGGAAAACATTCAAGAAAGTTTGTCCTTTTTGTAATGATGAAACATTCCCCAAACGAGTGCAGAAAGGTTACATCTTATGAATCGCGTATATACATTGTAAAAAAGAGAACATTTGTGTTTTAACTGTTTACGGAAACATCAAGTATCGGCATGTCGTTCCACAAACAGATGTTCGTCACTGTCAGCGCAAAACATCATTCGAGTATCTGTGACAAATCTGCCAAGCAATCAAACTCAAAGCTCAATCCCAATCCCGCAAGTTTCACCATACCAGCTACTTCCGGTGTTTCATATCAACCCGAGGCTGCAATTCTACACTCTACCACTCAGCTAAGACATGACGTTCTTCTGAAGACAGTCGTTGCACAGATATGTTCTAACATCGTTTCATTGGAAACAAATATTCTTTTTGATGAGGGAGCTCAGCGTTCTTTTATCACTGAAGAATTAGCGGAGAAACTAGAAATTGAGCAGACCGGAAGTGAAGTCGTTCATTTAGCATCGTTTGGTGATACTAGCCAAAGAGTACGACACATGAGAAAATGTTCTATACATCTTATTACAGACGACAATGAGAAAATATGCATTGATGGATTGTGCATTGTTCCAAAGATAGCCGTACCGCTGCGAAATATTAATCAGAATACTATCCAGCCCCTCCCATACTTGCATGGTTTAAAGCTAGCTCATCCAGTTACAAATGACAGAGATTTTGAGATATCATTACTGATTGGAGCAGATTCATATTGGAAAATTGTTCAAGATAAGGTTGTCCGAGGGAATGGTCCAACAGCGGTGCAGTCGAGACTTGGATATCTTTTATCCGGTCCACTACCGGTTTCCAACTTTCCAGCGTCAAGACAACACCAACTTCCAGTTTCTACACTTACAGCGTCCACATTCCAACAGCATCAAGTTACCACACAAGAAATGTCCACCCATTTATTGAACATTCTAACGTCATCCCCAGATTCCTTTGATATTGAGAGATTTTGGAAGCTCGAGACCCTGGGTATATCTCAAGAAGAAGAAAATCCTGAATCTACATACCTAGAAAATTACCAGCATGATTCAATCACCTACAATAACGGGCGTTACACAGCCAAACTGCATTGGAAAGAAGATCACGCGCTATATTACCATACGAATTATGACACTTCCGGTCATGAAACCAACACTTCCCGGTTCAGACCCTAGCACTACCAGTACTGTTACCACAACTAGCGAGTCTAGGCAATTCTCATAGAGTTATTGATATTGACAGATTGCGGTTCATACCAGAAACTATTACGTGTTACTGCATATGGTGTTGAGATTCATACAAAACAGCAAAAGTTCTAAAAAAAAGACTCGAACCCCTGCCCCCCCCCCCAATGAATTACTTCAAGCTGAGAAATCATGGGGCTAATAGACTGTCAGTCCAATACTTATCCAGGAGATCAGCAACATGAGATCAAGTAAATCCCCCGCTCACAGCTTGTCAAGCAACTTCGACTAATTTTTGAGATAACGAGCGCAATCCGTTGGCGGAGGTCGAAATTTACAAATGCCGCGCACTGGTCGAGAGTTCGAGAATTTCCCCTTACGACCTGTTACCATCAAACATAGAGTTGACCCGTTTGATTGTACTTCATTACCATAAAAAAATACTACATGCTGGAGTAAATTCTAGCAATATAACTTCTATACGAAAGAAGTATTGGATACCTGCTTTTCGTCAATGTGTAAAGACAATTCTTTCGCAAATGTGTCACTTGCCGGAAGGCTAGTTGGCCAAGTATACTCACCCCAGATCCTCCTCCGTTACCCAGAGTATCGAGTAGAAGATACCGTGCCATTTACAGTGACAGGTGTAGACTTTACAGGCGCAATTTATGTCAGAACTAAAGACGGAATGGAATCAAAGGCATTATATTTGTTTTATTTACGTGTGCCTCCACCCGAGCGGTTTAATGCACTTAGAACTCGTGCCAGATTTAACAGAAGACTCCTTTCTACAAGCATTTAGAAGATTTTCAGCAGCCGAAAATCTTTACCACATGTCATGATCTCTGATAATGCTTCAACATTTATGGCTGCCTCCAACCGTTATAACACGTTTGTTCGAGTCCCGACATGTACATGACACACTTACCAGTCATGGTACCACATGGAAATTCATTCCTAAGCGTGCACCTTGGTATGGGAGGATGGTGGGAAAGGTTGATTGAAAACTCACAAAGACAGCACTCAAGAAACCCTAGGCCGTACCTACGTTACATACGACTCTTTGCAGACTGTCATAACCGAGATAGAAGCCGTTATGAATGACCGTCCGTTAACATATGTCTCGTCCGGGCAATCGCCCAGAACCAGAAACCATTAACACCAGCCCATCTTTTATATGGTAGACGCATTACCACATTACCGTATCATGACACTGTTGATGAAACGGACCTAAGTTTGAGCCTTGGGAACAACAGAACATTACACAACGTGCCAGAGTTCAGATTAAAAATCATAGAAGACTTCCGTAAGAGATGGAGACATGATTACCAACTGCTCTTCGTGAAAACCAAATCGTACATCCGGAAAAAAATAAACAATCCATATCAGTTTTGGTGACGTAGTACAAGTTCACGATGACGTACCACGTGCACAATGGAAATTGGCGGTCGTTTGAAACAACTCGTGCACGGGAGAGACTGGACCCGTTCGGTCGGCGAAAATTAGAACAGACAGTGGTGTTACCAATAGACCGATTAGTGAAACTTTTTCCTATGGAAGTTACAGAACTTTAACTTATGAAATAATATTTCATAACAAAGTGACAACCTTTTCAAAAAAGACTGTATTTTTTAAAGCTTAATAACGAAAGTAACCATAATAGTTTTTTTGCCAAATGAACTGCTTTAGAGACTATACCGCTTATATATAAATTACGCTTTGATATTGTATTGCTGATAAGTTACTTCCTGAACATACTGCTTAAATATTCTTTATCTTTGGTGTAATAAGTGTTAAACATTTTGCGCGGCCCCCCAGTTATGTCCGCAAGAAAACTACATATTGTACGCTATTATCTTACGTTTACGCCCTTAAACCGCGCCTATTTTGACCGTCCAAACGTCACTTCTGACGTATGTTGTTATTGTTGATATATTACTGTTGAGATTTTGTATACATTGAATCCTGAGTCAATACAGATCGAACCTACACAACGCCTTTGTACTATTACTTCCAATATACGAAACCACTTCCACAGTACTTGGTTCGTATTCTGGAAAAATTTAGAAGGTGTCTTTGGTCTTTTCTCCAACATAAATATAACGTTTGCAACGTTTACAATAAACTGCATACACCACATTCGTAGATTTGCACGTGATCTGATTTCGAACCTTATACGAGGCCCCGTTCACACCAATGAATGTGTCTGCTTCAATAACGTATGGACAAAACGCACACTTTTTGGATCTGCAATGAGCACAGAAATTCGGCTGTTGAAAAAATAGTTTATTGTGTTTCTTATGAACAAGAATGTCCTGTAAGTATCTCTTCTAAATGCCGCAATTGGAGGATTTGGGAATATTTCCTTCATTCTATCTGAAGTGTGTAATTCAGGTAGGTGTTTTCGTACTACTTGTCCTACATTCGGGAGCGCTCGGGAAAATGTCAATACCAAGGGGATTCTTTCAGTGTTTTCTTTATCTTCATTATACTGTAATAAGTCACTTCTTTTCTTATTATCTACTTTATTTAATTCTGTTTCAATATGTCGATCTTCATAGCCTCGTTTCTGTAACTGAGTTTTAATATTCTCCCTATGTTGTTTGTAAGTCGATTCATATTAGTGCACGGAGGGCAAGTCCATATGGTATTGATTTTTTTGTCGATTCCGGATGAGACGAGTTTTTATGCAAGTACAGGTGTTTATCTGTTGGTTTAGTGTATAGGTATATTATTAAAATGCCATTCTGAATCTTCGTCATTATATACGTCGAGAAACTCAAGTTTTTCAGTAGAATATCTTAATTCAAATTTTATTCTGGGATGAAGGTTATTCCCAAGCTCGTGTAATGATTTTAAAGACTCGATACCGTGAGTCCAAAGGCCCCAAACGTCATCAACATACCGGAAATACTCAAGCGAAGTTTATCTGTTATCTCCATCAGCTGTGATTCCCATGATCCAAGATATGTAGATGCGTGATTCATCCCTAATCGTGAGCCAATCGCTGTCCCTTCTGTCTGTGTGAATTTTCTTGAAGTTTTAGAACGGTCGACTACAAACTGGCTCATTGGCACGTTATTTATTAGGTAAATAAAATTAGATATTGATAAAAAAGAATATGACATTAAAACATGGCACTATCACTTCAGTTAAACGTTTATTTCAATTTCTTAAAGCTCGGTGACATGTTGCAATATACATCAGAAAAGCTATTTTATTAGAAAATATGAAAACAGTGTGATGTTGTTAAAACAAAAAATAATACTCAAATTTTCCCCATATCTGAATAGGCGAATGCATATCTCCTATATCGTTTTCTCTTCAACTCGGATTAAAGCACTGAAAGCGCTGGCTAAATGTAGAATGAATCAGACCACATTACATCAACTTTACTAGTAAATAATTTTGGTGTGTGTCTAGTGCATATAACTAAAATTCTACAAGAAAAAAAATTCATGTCCTTTGCTAGATAGATCTGGAATTTTATTTTGATCATTTTACACATACATTATACATACATATTTATCCGCATTGAATGTTTGTTAATAAGCAATTTATTACGTTTTTGATATAGACATTCAAAACTATAGAAAGGTAATAAATACCTGTTTCATGCAACTAGAACATGGTAAACATTATCAAGAAGGTTAGAAAAGAGTAACAATGTGGCTCTATTATTTAATTTAACCCATGAAATATGGTGCTATATCAGTCAAATATATTTAATATTTTTTAAAAATAAATATGAAATATAAATATGAAAGTGGGCGGAGTCAAAACTCATATTTATTTAAAGGGACTTCATTCGCCATTTTGTTTGAAAAATCTGATAAATACAAAAAACTTTCTGTTGAATTTTGTTTAAAAAAACTATCTAGAATGATAGAAAATGGTCTAACTAAGAAAATAAAGCCGAACACCAATTCAGTCATTAACGCTGTACTGGTACAGACGTTTAAAGAGTTGTTTACGTGACGTCACAATGTAGCGCTAAATATCGCGTGCAAAACAAGACAGTGCGCTGTACAATTTCAGTTGCGTAGCAATTAAGCAAGGGGGTTCGTAACCATTTTTCTTTGATAATGAAATTAAATAAAAAGGTTATTTTTTTCGTTCTTCGTGAAATATGGTATATATTTTCACTCAACATGATAAAATGCCACATATTTTCACTCGCCGTCCCGGCTCGTGAAAATATGTGGCATTTTATCATGTTTCGTGAAATATATTCCATATTTCACTCAACGAAAAAATATCCTCTTATTATTAATATAATCATTATTGATGGTTCCGACTTCAATGAATGCTTTAGCAGATATCTTGATAAATTTCTGTATTATTGGAACGCCTCCGTACTAGTGATGGGTCATTTGATCGCTGCTGTAATGTACACGATATATTAAAGCTTCCCGGTTGAAAAGAAATTGAGAGCGGGATAAGAGTAAAAAAAGACGAGAATAAAGATCAACAAGAATTTATAACAGAGTTACAAACGTCCCCCGCCTCAGGGAAGTTTTATATGCAGCATAAAATTGTGCTATTTCAAAAGATTGAGGTATGGGTCTTAGGACTTTAATCAATGCTAGATCTGCAACAATAAATTTATAAAAGAAATACAATGAAACACGGAATTAAAAAATCTATCATGTTAAGCTTTGACCTATAATTGTGACCTTGACCTTGGAGGTAGGGGTGCAGGTGTTGTGCATGACATATCGTCTTATTATTGTAACTATTTGTGCCAAGTATTTTCAAAATCCCATGAACTATGAAGAAGTTATAGATCGGACACAAAATATACCGTTTTACAGACTATGTTAATCTATGACCTCTAAGTGTGACCTTGGAGGTAGGGACCCATGTTTTGCGTCTGACATATCGTCCTAATAGTGTGATTATTTGTGCAAAGTATTATTTAAATCCCTTGATCTATGAAAAAGTTATGGACTGGACACAAAATATACAGACTATGTAAATCTTTGACCTCT